TGCCGTATGTTTGTGGCCGAGAGTGTGGCAGATACTTGTCCTGTGGCAACCACTCATGCAGCGCCGCTTGTCACCAAGTGCTCAACGCTCCTAGCGTGCAGGTCAGCTCTAGTGTGCAAGTTTTCTACTATCGTTATATTTGTTTAACATTAATTTGCATTTCATGGCAACACTTAATACAGGGAGCGGCAAAATGATCTGACGGTTTTCTTTGCCGCCCTGTCGAGCGAATGAGTGGCGTAGGGTGGTGGGAATAGGGGCGTTACAAAGCCAACGTGTGAACATTTTTAATAGCCATGGAGCCGTGGGATAGCTGAGAAACATGTATTTGTAGTAGAAGTGTTTTTAAAAGTGGAAATTCCTGTGTAGCTGTTCAGTACACTTTTCAATATGGGTCCAAGGGGAAAAGTCCCAACTCAAAAAACCATTTTGCTGTGAGTAGGTAACTTTAGAGCTACTAGTATAGCATTGAAAAAAGTCAACAGGCTGTCCAATGTCAGCTCGGACACCAGAGAGCGCCGAGAGAGTGAGATACGCTGTGGAAGTTAGTCCTCAGCAGCCTAAACGTAAATAAGCTGCAGCTCTGCACTTGTCTGGCCGCTCAGTAGAAGAGTATTACAATATCATCTGCATTTTCATTCATACAAAATGGCAATCGTGCAACTGCAACAGTTGAAGCCCAGTGGTTATGCAAAGCGCATCTCTTTTTCAGAACAAGTAGTGATGACAAAGTTGTCATTATGAGTGACGAATCACACTTTCAATCACGCCACATAGTCTTTCCCACTCTCTTTAGTTTCACACCACGTAGTCAGATTTTAGTTTCAATGCTGAACTAGTAGCTCTAAAGTTACCTACCTACAGCAAAATGGTGTTTCGAGTTGGGACTTTTCTTCATTGACCCACATTGAAACGTGTACTGAACAGCTACACAGGAATTGCCACTTTTAAAAACGCTTCTACTACAAAGTCATGGTGCTCAGCTGTCCCACGGCTCCGTGGCTACTAAAAATGTTCACACGTTGGCTTTGTAATGCCTCTATTCCCACCACCCTACGCCAATCACTCACTTGACAGGGCAGCAAAGAAAACCGTCAGATCATTTTGCCGCTCCCTGTACAACCAAGCTTGCAAAACAAAGGGGCGTAAATACATATGATAAGCCTATGTACCTACATCTTGCAAGTAGGGATGGTCAAGTCTCGAAATTTCGGGAAATTTTCAATCTCGTTACACGAGACGAGACTACTTTTTGGCCGAGATTTTTATCAAGACGAGAATAAAAAAAAAAAAAAAAATTAAAAACGCCTGCAGAAAGTCAATGCAATACCCGCAATACACGAGCGTGTTGTAGTTGCGTTTCCTTTTCGAAGGCGTTCTTATTTAATTAATTCTTTTAATGTAAATATTACTTTAATTCTTTTAATGTAAATATTACTTTCATTATTTTAATAATATTACTTTAACAACATTTGAGAAGTTTTGTTAAGTGTAAGCAGTGTGAGGAATGTTTTATTACTATAAAAAAAGTCAAAACAGGTAACTATTTTATAAAAATTAATATTGCTTTTATTTTATGATTTATTTTATTTTAGGATAAGTTGAACTCTATCCTAACTGATATCACCATGTTTCCTAATCGTAGGCATTTTTAATAAGTTAGGCGTGATTAATAAAAAAATGTTATGCTGATGTTATTTAATGAAAGATTGTAAATATTCTTGCCTATTATCATTATTTTAGTATTTAAACAGTCATCTAACAATGTTACAAAATCAGGTAAAAATTTCGAACGTGCATTTCCCGTTGTGTTTGAGAAGAGAAATCTCGTCTCGATCTCGTCTCGAAATTTTATGAGAAATAAAAAATCTCGTCTCGTCTCGTCTCGAACTAAAAATCCAATCTCGTCCATCCCTACTTGCAAGCGACAATAAGTACTACTGTTAATTCACGTCCTTTACTTTCTTTCTTTGAAAGTGATTTACCTCTCATTTGGATCGATTTGAACACAACTTTGTTAACATGTACGCAACTTTGTCCATATCCATGTAAACAAACAACTCAGGGACAAGAATTTCAAGCATTCCAGATTTTGTAACTGCATCCCTTAATTGTTTAGTATAATACTATAATTTACTAATTTTTAACACACAATTTGTGTTTTTGAAAACTCCCCTTTCATTTTTGTGTCTAAATCAGATGGTGCCAACTTTTGGATAAGGGGGGGAATGAGATTAAGTGCACTGTAATTTGAAGAACATAACCCCCTATTCACAAGTGGCAGTTTAGAATTCCTAACTATATTTGATATAACGACCAATGCATTGTAGTATTTCTGTCAGCTTTCACTCATTATGTTGTCGACACAGGAGGCAGGCAGCAACTGTGAGCCTTGTGCTAGTCAGTGTACATTTCCCCGTCCTGAGGGTTGCACTCACCCCTGCACTGCTGGCTGTCACCCTCCCCCCTGCGCCCCCTGCCAGGCCCTGACACGCCACCGCTGTCACTGCACCATCAACCAGCTGTTCCTCAGGTGCGGAGAGTGGACCTCGGCCTCCGACTCTGAGAGATCCGCAATGCTGTCTTGTGGCAACCAGTGTCCCAAGAATGTAAGTTTGGGAAGTGTACAAAATTTTTTAATTTAAAGTTTAAGATCAATGTTTTGTGTTGCTAGTGACACACATTTTTTAAAAGAAAAACTTCTTTTAAGTGGTATTGAAATCTGACTGTCAGAGCATGGTAATATTTGTGAGAAGTGTAGGAAGTAGAGTGTTACTTAAAATATTTCCTGTGAAGACAAAAATCACTCTACCAATCAGAGGGCTTTATTTAGATCAGGCCATCTCTAACATTGGACGATTCATGTTGCCAATACCAAAATAAATGTTGGTGTATTGTCGTACAACTATAGTAACTCAATAACTTACTCAAATTTATTGTGAATTAATTTATTTTTTGTCTTTGTGTATCTCATGATAAGTGTTTTATTGTTTATGCTTTTCATCTTTTGAGTTTACTCTTCACTGCCTTTACAATAAATATGGCTATTTTCTGGTTGGGATAGTTTAAGCTAAAAATCAATTTACTCAAACAAATTTTTGCTTTTAGCAAATTTCTCTTTCAGCGAATATGCTATTTAAACTTTTTATGAAACAGTGCGCAGTCATTTTTCCTTTAAGACTTTTTCATTAAGTTTGCCTATTATTCAGCTAGGCTAAGAATTTCCTGTGATAAAAGGCTTGAAAGAGTTTATTGTTGGATTAGCAGTCTTATCACTGGTATCAAAATTTCCTATTTAATATTTTTATCTGCCATGTATTAGTTTATTTGATACTGAACCATTTGAGTTTTGTTTGTTTTATTGTATTTTTGAAATAAAAAAGGACCAGTTTCTTCATGCTCTTCTTTCGTACTAGATAATTTTTAACTTTCCCTCAACTCAACACACTTCTTCGATACTTCTTTTATTGTCCAGTTATGGGTGTGCAAAATTATGCAAAACGTATGGAGAACACAAAATGGCCAAAACCGTTATTATTATACTTTTTACAATGGTGATGTATTGTGCAGTATGAGTGTGGCCACCGCTGCAGTCTGACGTGTCACGACGGGCCGTGTACAGACGCCGAGCTGTGCCGACGCAAGGTCAAGGTCACCTGTCCGTGTCGCAGGATCAAACGTGAGGTGCAGTGTGCGACTGTGCGAGCCGGCCAGGCTGTGATAGAGTGCGACCAAGTCTGTCAGGAGAAGGAGGTGCAAGAATTGCAGGTAGAGTTGCTGAATTTGGTTTGAAAATTACGCCAATGATGACTGATGATTAGTTTTCGTTTGCAAAGAAGTTGGATGTGAAGTAAGTGTGGTAATTTTAAGAGTACAGAAAGAATATTGTTACATTTCAAAGGAAAGTCATGTGTTTAATTTAGTAGTTTTATCTTGGAAAGTGATGATAGTTCAGCTAGCGTATTTATGAAAATTAGAGTTCAGAGACTTATCGATAGAAAATCACATAACATAACACTATTTCTTCATAATATGACTCCACCTAAGAGTGGGGCAAAAGAGATGTCACTATTAAAAACTTCATAAAAACTGACTAGATTTAAGCCAATTTACTCTCAGAAGGAGTCAAACGTTAGAATAAAATTCAGTCTTATGTTACGAGATCTTTTTTATGTGTATGTATTCCCTGGATCCTTATTTTCTGAGGTAAGCTAGCTAAACTCTATCCATAACAATAAACTCCCGAATCAGTGAAGATAATGAAGACAAGACACTATATTGTACTGGAAAAGATATAGCGTCTTTTGATATTTAAATTTTAAACAATTTACAGGACACAAATTAAAATAATTTTCACATGAAATATTTGGCTCAAGTTCGAAGTATTAAATGAAGGCGTGATGTTTACAATGCTGATCGTAACCACTGCTATAGTATTGTCTTGTAAGCCCGTAGACAATAAACAGTTTAATCAATCAATCAGTATCAGTATACAGTTTAACCACCCATAATTTAAGTATAGACCTTGGTAAAATAATCATTGTCCGTGCTATAAATACTTGCCTGATGGGCATTTTTGAAACCCATTATTGACATATTTTACATCACAATACCAGTACACGTCATGAAGCGTGTTTTACCAAACTACACACTTTCACTTTTTCATTAGAAACGCTTGAAAGAAGAGGAAGAGAAAAGGCTCCAGGAAGAACTTCGTAACAAAGAAGAACTTGAGAAATTTGAAAAGAAGATGTCTGGCAAGAAGAAGCACAGAGAAAAGAAGATAGTTGATGAGAAGCCAGAAGTATCTCTGTTGACTCGACATTGGTTGGTCGTGTCAGCTGTGGTAGCAGTCGGAGTCGCAGTAACTATTGTGTCCATGCTCAATTAACGGCCTTCTGTTTTCTTATGGTTGTAATTTATGTTATTTAATAAACAAGTAACATCCGACACAGTGGTTTTATTAATGTCTGTGCAAGAGGGTTAAATAAAACAATTGCTCTAAAGTTAAAATTTATTGAATTAAATAACTTGTATTAAAAGTTACAACATTTATGTACATTATTTTACAAAACCATAGGAATATTGGTGTAGAGATCAAAAGTAACAATTAAAGTTAATAATTTGATTAACAATATAACATATAACTTAAATATGTAAAGTATTTGATAAAATGCTTGTTTAAAACTTTCTTTTGATTTGTATACAAGTATTTAGCTAATTGGTAATGCTATCTAAAAACAGGTTGAGGTTAGTTAGGTAGTAGGCCTAATAAAGTTAGGGTTTTGTCATTTTCCCTAAAAAAAAAAATAAAAGTTAAGTTGACAGAAAACAAAGAGAAAACCAAAATATTTAACATTTATCATTTATCCCAGACAAAAAGTTGAATATAAGACCTAGAATTCAAAATTATTTAAGTACATCTTCCAAGTCCAAGTAAGAACACATCCATTTTAGGTGGTAAACTCAGGTAAGTTAGGCTACAAAAATAAATAAAGTTATTTCATAAACCTCATAAAAATACATTTTTGATTAAGTACATGACTTTTATGTGTCCTTTGACTATAAAACTCTACTGTATAGTAAACAGCCCCGTTATAGCGTTTCCATTCCCGTTATAGCCAGTTTATAAAATATATATTAACTTGTTTCAATAAAGCATGCGGAAGCATGTGCTACCGTTAAACATTGTTTTCATTCTTGTTTTCTAATTTTTGAATCATGCCGAACTGAATTAACAATTTGTGTGAACAATTGCATCTTTTATGACCCAATCAACTATTGTAATGAATAAAAAAAAGGAATTTAAACCTAAATAGTAGCATACAATATGAGACGCTTAGTCAACTATGATCATCTGTTTGGTTAAAAAACTGGCTAAAGCTGGTCCACACAGATGGTATGCCTATTTCAGTATCCAAAGTCAATGGTACAATCAATCGTCCGCGAACACTGAATCATGTGGTGCTGTTTTTAGAGCTCTTAATCTCAATGGGCAAAACCACGATGGGTTTACTAGTCTTTGGGTTGTCTGCGTAGATGCTCCATGTTTTGTTGACACAGTCAAATATCCCTGTAAAAAGTGATTGATTTGTTAAAAGCTGTCAAGAAATAAAAACCGTTTTCATACAAAAATTTATTATATATATCAGATGCAAAATGTAGCCTACTTCTAGGTGGTTAGTATTAACAAATAGGTTATTTCCATGGAAATTCACGGCCTTTCAAATAAGTTTTATCCGTCTTTACTACAAGTCATGACTACTATCATTCCTATAATTTGGTTCACGTTGTTGAAAATAATACTTTCTTTGAACTAAAATCCCAACAGAGAAACAAATTAATGAAGGGAATTGTATGTTCTCAAAATTCTGGAAAGTACAAAGGGATAATTTTAAAACACAAACATTTGAATTGTTTACTCTACAGCTTACTCAGTCTTTAAGCTAATTGACTAGAATTGTTTTCAAGATAATGTATGTGGCTTGGATGATACATTAACCTCAAATTTTAACGATTTACACACAATGTTAAATAGTTGTAGCACAAAATTGTGTTTTGATTATTACTTGATTATTATTAGTGATGTTAAACATTCATCATGTCATTTAATCAATCCTTTATTTGTCTAATCAATCTTCAAATATAAGTTTATGAACTTTTAACTTCCTTAACAGTTCTTATTCCAAAGATGGAAAGAGGACCAACAAACAGTTTTCAAAACAAATTATATTTTTAAGTTTATCTCAACTGAAAGTGACAACTTACCGACAGCCACAGTTTTGACAAAGTCATCATCACCGGCCTCACGGAATATGGTGAACTCTTTGCCGGACTGGTCTCCAAGTACGTTGATGACATCATCGGCAGTTTTGGGAGTCGGCATTCCCTCCTGCGTGGCATGACGACTATCACTGCTCGACACGATCATTCCTCCCACCTCGGGAATTTGTAGTCTCAAGTACCTGCGAGCAACAGAGCAGTCGTTAACTTAAACAAATTGATAATTTAATAATAAATATAAATTCATAAGTTGGGTGTAAAATATCTATATCTAGTAGCAAGAGCCAAAGCTTAGGACTTGGAAATGAGCGAGGTTCGGCTTTTCTTGGCCATTCGGCCAAAATTACACTTATTGTTGTACACGAGATGAACTATATTTTATTTTCATTTTTTGTTATAACAGCATCATCCTTTAACATAACTAATTTTGAAAACAAAAATTGTTGTTTTTTAAGTTAGCTCATAAAACAGCTTCTATCCAATTTTGCTATGTGAGGTTGAAAAATACACTTTTATCCAATGAAATGAAGTATATGTTTTGCTGTGTTGGACCATTCTTTAAGCTAATTAAGTTAGCTCATAAAATTACTTCTATCTTGATTTGCTATTGTAAGCTGATGTATGTTATCCAGTAATAAGAGGCAGTGTTGGGAAGTAGCGCGCTACATTGTAGCGGAATTTTAGCTACTTTTCTCGCTACATTAACATTGTTTGAGATAGTGATTTTTATCATAACCTCAACCTTAACTACGTGAAACAACCTCTTTCAAACTGAGATTTAAAAAAAAAATTAAGCCTTACTTTCTTGGCTTCATACAGCTGGTTGCAGCCGTTTCATTCCCTATTCTATTACAACGTTGTGTGGACATGGAGGCCATTAAATGAGTGTTATCCACATTTTTGGCTCTCATTTCCTTAATTTACTACTCTATGATTACTGTCAGATAAAATAAAATCGCTAGATGCAGACGTTTGGACGTTACCGGTGACAAGAGAAGCTATTGAATGCTTGCAAGTGATTGACAGGGAAATTAGTAATCAATTTAGTTTGTTTATTATACCGATAGTGTTTCAACTTGGATTTTAATGGAAACCAACACTTTAAACCTTAAGACGAATACCAAGTTCCAAGTTCAATTATTAGGAATCCTATCTGTTTAGTCCTAGCAAGAACAAGCCTACTATAGCCAACTTGTTACATAGCCAAGTAGGCCTACATGTTATTTTTACTTTACAAATTTCAACATGTTTAAATTAAAAGCCGATTTCAGGATAAGTTACTGGATACTGTTTTCTGTACCAACTAGGTTGAAGCACAATTTGCCCTATGCATAATGACAATAAAGGACGATTTCTTGACATTGAAAAGTGTTATTCATACTACAAGTAACTTATCACTTAAAAGTTTATAGCAATGTCGTTTTTAACATTAAAAGAAAGGCAATAAACTCCAATTTCAGTAGGCTAGGCTCTGTAACACAAAAAAGTATTTTTAAATAATCGTTTTACAGTTTTATTGGTCTTAATTGTTGATATAAGACATCTATAAATGAATCTATAGCCTATTAAAGAAATAAAATGAGCTTTTAAAATATAGTTTGGTTGTATGTCCTTTGAACTTAATGAAATTTACATTTAAGATGCATAAAAATAATGCAATATTTAAAAATAAGTACTAAATATGATGGGACACCGAACTATTTGGTTCTGTTGTTGTAATGTTAGGTTTATAATGCCAAAAAATTAAATACAATCTAGTAATAATTTGTTTTCCAATTAATGTTAGATACAATACTGACATTTTTTTAATGTTTGTTCAGTAAAGATGTAGTTGCAATTAATTTTACATTTACCTAATGTGCGTGGAATAAAAAGTAACGTCTTTGGAAAAGTAGCTAAAATTGTAGCTGTAGCTACATTTCAATGTAGCTGTAGTTGTAGCTAGCTACTTTTGCGGAACTGTAGCTGTAGCTAAGCTACTTTTTTGGAAATGTAGCAGTAGTTGTAGCTAGCTACATTTTAAAAGTAGCTTCCCCAACACTGATAAGAGGTATACAAGTGAGAGAAGCATACTCCCTTGGCTCAAGCTGATTCTTTGTTGAGTTTTAGAAATAAAAATAACTAATGTAGCTTATTTCAGTAAGCAAGGAATTAATGACAGCTCTTATACAGTAAGCTAAATACCAATAAGTGCACTAATGTGAACTTCATTATTTTAAAAATAGAGCAGTGTCAAACAAAGTTCTTGCCACCAACTTTTATCTTGATCAATTTGCTCTTTGATGACATAGTCCATTTGACAAAATTTCATTATTAAATAATTGGTTTACCACAAAAACAAAATATAATACATTTATTTTCATTCAACAAAACATAAACATTCAAAATACGATAGGAGAGGGGTACTTACTTATTTGTATGGAAGAACAACTCTCCAGGACTAACTGTAAGGATGCTGAGAGGAGATTCTTTGGCGTTGAGTGCTGGACCAACCTATCACAAAAGGAGGTGTTACATACAGTATAGTACTATTTATTCTATAATGCAACTAGAAATCAACTCGATACTTTAAACTTCACCTCAGATCAAATAAGTATGGCTGGATTTGATTAAATTTCGATAACTGACATTTTAAGGTGGACATTATTGAAGGATGGGTGCTGAATGGATGAGATTTTAGCTTCGCAAATGACTAAGATCAACTGATACCTTAGTCAGGACCATTTACTGCAAGCCCGAGAATCAAGCAAAGCTAAGTCCACTTTCAAACCATAAAATAATACTTACTTTTCTCAGAATCACATCAGCAACCTTTTGATTTTTAAAGCGAGCACTATCACCCTGTATGGTGTAAATATGCAATAAGACAGAGTTTTACAAAATTCAAAATTGAAGGGAGGTAACAACCCAAACAATAGGAATTTCATAGTGAATTTCCGATTAAATTGTACTATAATCCTTAATAACTTTTACTATATGGATAATTAATGCATTAGGTCATTTTAGGTTTAGCAAAGTCATAACTTCAGCGGGTTCATAGTAGTAAACAATCCAAAAGTATGTCAGGCGAAGCCGACAGGCAACAGCTAGTTTATCATACAATAGAGGAGATTTATATGAACAAGCGAGTCATTCTCACCTCAGCGTTGTGGAACACCCTGTCCCCCTCCTGTGAGAGGAAGGTCATGTTGATGCTGACTCCTTCTGCCGCTCCAACACCAGCATCTCGCAGAATCTGCTGAGCTTGCAGTAGGTTCTCAGCAGCCAGCAACGCTCTCGTCAGGAAGTATCTTGCTGCAACATGAAAATCAATATTAACTTATTGGAATTTAGCTCTACTAACTTTGTACAGCGGCTGTTGAAGCTTAAAGAGATATTTTTCTTTAGTTTACTGTAAGCTAAAGGCTCACAGTATCTCTTTAATCTTAAACCAAGTAGTGCAACAATATACAGCATGTCTAAAATTTTATAAAATTAGTTCTTGTAAAGCTGCACCAAAATTGCTGGTATTGCGATTGATGTATGAATTTAACATTGTAGTAATCTAGTTAACGGCTTGATTTTTAGAAAATTTTGTTGTTATGGATCGAAACAGGAGTAAGGACGAAACCATAGATAAAACATACTCCCTTAGTAGATTTCTCATCCTAATGGAACAGCTGACGACAATTTAGTGTTAATGTTAGTTCTGTACGGTTTATGTAGAGGTCGTGTTTTGTTTACAATTTTTTCCCCGTTATTACAGTCATTTAACCAAATATACAATCTAATCATAAACAGTAACTTGTCCCCTAGTTATGTAACCAAACAGTAAAGCACAAATCAAGAAATTAACCCTAAAATAATAGAAACAAAATTTCTTCGACACTAGCGCCCAGTGTCACCGTACATGAACTAGACACGAAAAACATGCTTCAAAATTTACAATGGGATGAGAAGTCTACTTGCGTTGGTTAGTCTATGACGCAACTTATTTTAATCATTAGACTAAATGGCCCTGGCTAAGAAGATAGCTGGACTTTGTTAAAGTATTAACAAGATCATTCTGATGTAAAACTCACGTGTTTTGCCAGCGATAAGAGTCTTGGCACTAACAATGTTGACGGAAAAGACGAACCCATGATGGTTATAGGACATGGTGAAGCCTGGGAGATGTCCTGCGTAGCAGAGAGACGTGAACTTTTCCTCCCGAACCTTCCATTTCCCCTGGGGAGAGTCTTCCAGGATGTGAGCCGACACGAAGTAGATGTGGTTCAAAGTCTCGGCCAGCGCGTCCTCATTGTGGCCCAGGATTTCCTGTAAAATATATAAGTTTAACACTAATACCGAAACCCTACCGAGGCTGATGCTAACAGAAACAACCGGTCTGTGAGACCCCATTTGAAAATAATGGAAACCGCTTAGAAACACAAACCAAAACCTTTGGCCTGTGAGACCCCGCTTTAAAATATACTAACGCTGGGCTTCTGAGATAGGCATGTTATGAACATACAACCTGTCAAGGTCACGGAACCCACGCAAAATGAAAAAAACAATATATCAACGGGTATGAGAGGAAAAGGGGGAAGGTATTGGGGGAATGGAATCCCCCAATTGAACAGTGTTGCCAACATGCGTTTGTGAAAATTCCCATGGGCCTGTCAGACCGGGGTTTCGGTAAAAGTGTTAATAATATCATAACTTTGAATGCTTGTGGGACAGAATCCTACATGAAAATCACAATGCATAACACCACTTCAAAGTGCTCCGCATCAAGCAATGAATTTCTTAAATATACTCTTAGGTATTATAGAAGTGACCTCGTATTTTTATCTATTTTAAAATTTAAAATAGAGTGAACTTTACGTTGAACAACGTTGGCAGGGGATATTTAATATCCCCTGCCAACCAAAGTAGAGATAGGGCTTAGAAGCAAAGATAGTAAAAGAAAATCAATAGCCAAGATAAGGTTTCTAGATTATTACACTCGGTCTAAATTTATTATAACCTTTCTCTGATTTTAGAGTTAAAACTCGCACCTCCTATACTACAAACAATATAATTAATTTATTGCCAATATTTTTGAGGGTTGGTGAATTGACATTAGCAGTCGCAGTAGTCAGCAGTAGTAGTTGGGAATTAAAAAGAAAATGTACACCAAAGAAGCTTAACCTTGATCCACAAATAGAATGAAAATAGGTACAGAGAACTGCCACATTTGTTTTACAACAACAAAAGTCAAAAACTAAATTAAATTAACTTTAGTATAACTCAGCTCTTAATTCCTACAAAATTAGGTTAAGTGCTTGTTTAGAAATCATAGTCTTACTGGTTCACTGATAATGATAATCCAAAGAAAAGTCAGTAATTTTTTTGATATGAAACTTAACATAGCTGTCGTTGATCATTTGGGAGTTTAATGATCTGACTAAAACAATAAAGTTTCAGGTAGTACCTAATAAAAGGTATACATAGGGGCGGTTTGGGAGCTCGGTATTAGCGCTAGTCCACGACTAAATCCGGATATTTCCGGTATTTTAGGCTGCCGCCTCGAAAACGGGTTTGTGAGCTCGGGATCAGTAAGGCGCGCGCCTAACTTGTGCAGGGATAATCTCGCGCCTAAATATTGTTGGTTTGGGAGTCAAGTAGACTTAGGCGCCAGCCTAAGAGATAGTCTCGGTGGGTTTGGGAGACCAATTTCGGGACTAAGAGATATGTTTTCGTCATAAAAATCAGTGAGTTTAGTCCCCAACTTTAGTCCTGCCAGGGGGCAGGTCTAAGTCGACATCATGCCGGTATTAGCTCATTAGCAAGTTAATTGTTTACATATTAACTAAAAGAATGTTATATTGGAATTCGTTATTAAATTCCGAACATTTTCATTACTCTCAAAGTATATTTGATAAAACTTTTTTTTAGTTTTCTGTTGTTCAAAATAAAACGAAAATCTTGCAGAAAGCTAAATTTAACGAAAGATTATTTGGTTTTTGTTTTTACTGTTAACTGCAATACAAATATGAACCCTAAATAGAATTTATTTCAACTGAGAGTTTGACTATAAGCACCCGTACCTTAATTATAAATATTTTAACAGTAAGGAAATAATTAGCAACCACATGCATACCCCCCCCCCCCTCACCCCCTACAAAAGAGTGAAGAGAAAGTAAACAAAACATAAAAAACTGCAAATAGCTCACAGTCATAATCGTTATCTTTTTATTGCGTTGTGATAGAGCTCAGTTCAGTGTCATTGACCAAGTGCTAGTTACATCAAAATGGAGTACCTAGATTATTTGGAGTATAAGAAAATATATACAGTATATCAATAACCCGCCACAGAAAACCTGCAGACTAAGCGAATTTCCAAATAACCTAATAGAGCTTTCAATTAAATTTATTTAAATAACTTTAGGTTTAACAAGCACCTAAAACTACCTACGGTGTAGGTATGCTGCTACAGGGAGGGTAATAAAGAGTGTTTTTAACAAAATATTAACAGCTTTATAAAAAATAAATAAATTTGCCAAGTTTCATAAAAATATATCCATAAACGACCACACTAGAACAGTTAACTTATTCTCCATAAGAATCACATGGGAATTTAAAATTTACAATTTTACCAATAGTCTCTGTAGCCAATAACCGTACAAAACATTTTAAGATATTAATTTGTTTTTATACTCTTTAAAATACTCTTTACTCTTTACTCTTTAAATTACTCTTTAAAATATTTTAAAGACAAAGATTTATGTTATAAGGGTTAAAATTGAGAAAAAAACTATTTTTATCCTATACAACTCCGGGTTCCCTTGGTCTGATCATGCTCGTTCGCGAACTCATTAAGGAGAATCGCGCCTAACACTTTCATGCCAAATTTTATCAAAATCAGACAAAAATTACTCACGTTTATGGACGTATATATAATACATTTATATATAGGCTATACATATATAAAATTTTGAACGAACAGTGTTTTTGGCCTCTAGGGACATCAAAATGGAAAAGTTTATCGGTCCCGGAACTAAGTGCTACCTACGGTAATAGATACTTTCCTAGGAAAATTAGATAAAAGAGTGTCATGTAAAAAAAAATTTAAATTGACAACAATTTTTTCTAAGTACTGTATTACAAGATTTTTCTTACATTTACCTTGGCTTCACACAATCATAACCTCCGCAATTACTTTTTATTATTTTTTTGTCAATACCCCTATATTATACTGGGAAATTACTGTTTAATTTTGAAGCTTTTTATTGCATGAAACCGAGTTTCCGATGTTAATCCTATGTTGCTCTGTACGTATTTATAAGGTGTAGTACTTAAAAGACAACTAGTAGTACTTAAGGACAACTGATTAAATAATTATAATTCGTAAAGTCAAAATAAAGTTAGATCTTAAAAGAATTTAATATAAACAATTGCGGTTCTTCAGTCATTGGGATGTAAAACAACGATCTTACAAAACTACATTTTTGAAATGGTACAATGCAGAAACATACACCATAGTCTACTAATTAGCCCCCATTGATATACCAAGATAAAATTTTATCCATCTTCAAAAAGTGTTCATCTTTTGTTTTTGTCAACGGTAACGGGTTCTGCAATGGCCGTTGCCAACGTCAAAACCTGAATTCCCCGCGATTCCCTGTCCATCTAGCCGCGCTGGAACTTAGGCGCGACTATACTTGATCTACGACCATTTCAACTTAGGCGCGAGCTCCCAAGCCTGGTTTCTGGTCCGGGGACTAAAGTTAGGCGCGTCTAACACTAGGCGCGTACTAGCTGGGCTCGAGCTCCCAAACCGCCCCATAGTCTTTTACAGTATACCTGATATTTCAAGCTGTTCTTGTCCCTGATTCAAATATGTAATCAAATATGTAATCTGTGCAAGTATGTAATCATTTTATGCGCTAGGTTAAATAAAATAAAACTGGAAAAATTAAATTAACTTTTATGGGTGTGTGTCACTTTTTAACTGGAAACAAAATAATTAATCCAGTTAAATTACATAAAAAAACCTAAAAACTAATGTAACATTTTTTTAAACGTCTTAATGATTTAATAAAAGCCATCATGACTGTTTCAAATAATTAAACTACGTCGAACATACTGTATGAATTTTAAATGACAGAACTCACTTGGTTTGGCTGATTGCAGCACAATGTTGAACATCCATTGGTTGATTCCGATGACTTCTTTTGAACCGAGTTTGGGAGGATGTCATCCATGTGTAGAAGAAACAGCTAAAAATACAAAGGCAATGTAATCAAAATGTATACCTCGCTTAAAGCAAGCATCAGTAATTATTGGTGAAAAATTATACTTCAGCAACATTAGGTGTAAATTTTTGTATTAGCTCACTATAGTTCTCTGAGGAAAATTGTATAAAAAATAGGTTTGTATGAAAAGTTAGGGAAAATATATACCGTTCCATAATATTTGACAAATTTTTAAACTTTGATATAATGTTTAGTAGTTTAAGTTTACCGATATTTTCTTTTAAGTTTGAGTTTGTTGTGCCTGTATTCATATTTGGCACTACCCAAACTTCAATAATGATTTTGAAATGGCTATATGTGTGGTGGGTGCATGGACGTGAACAGAGCTACAAACAGTAGACTCCCTCTTATCCGGACTCCTTGGGACCAAGGCCAGACCGGATAACGGTTTTTCGGGTTTACCAACATCCCCTAAAACTCGTTGAATTAGAAACGTCTAATGCATACTATTTAAGTCAATAATGATTATTTACGTAAAAACAGTAAAACTAGACACGTAAATCATACTGGTCTCAAATCTTTCCCTTGAGAAAAGTCGTTTCAGTTCTGCCCACTTCCTGCCAATTCTGTCCGGTTAAAAGGTATCCAGAAAAAAGGGAGTCTACTGTACTTGTGAGGGTTTATGTGCTAAAAAAAAATAATTTGAGGCGTTTTTTAATTTGATATTTTATAGTTAGATTATTTTTGTTTCCGTCCATTTTGTAATAGTAGTTTTGTTAAGTAGTTATTGTCCCTTTTCATTAAAAGTGTATAAAATATTGATTGAGTTAATCCCATAAAAACACTAATAAAGTTTTAAACTGGAGTGGCATATTAAAGGTGCATTGTCCCTGAAGCGACTCTTGCGATAGTAGCTGAGCGATAGTAGCTCAGCGATAGTAGCTAACCATGTCATTGTCCCTGAAGCGATTGTTCTAGAGCGATTTTGTTCATTTTGCTGACTTTTCGAGTGAATTGGTGCCATGAGTGCCATGACACCAGCTAATTTTAAAACGTTTTTATTAGCTCACTTTCTTGTCCGGTACAAACTTTGCAATCAATAACTAACTTCCCGATGAGCTAGAGAATTGAAACTTGAAACATAGCTCACAAATGGATGACAATGCAATATTATATCATTTAATTTTCATATTTCCCTTGGGCTAAGCTCCATGGGCTTCCGAATTTTTTATGTTTACATTTTGGAAGAATGTAGGCCAAAATAAATATATCAATTGAAGCCAGCTGTAAATAATAAAATTATTTCTAAAATTAGTAGAATATAATTATAAATAAAAATAATTTTTAAAAATAATACGTTTTTAAACACACTTAAAAGTAAAAATAATTTATAAATATGTGGAGAGAATAAATACTTGTAAGATTTAAAACGAAAAACGTGGGGAGCATGCAATGGATAATAATAGTTCAATAGGTAAAGATAATTCTAAATTATCATGCGCCCCACATTTTAAATCTTCAAGTATTTATTCAATACCGTACTTATTCTGTACTAACAGCTTTTCATCTTCTTCAGGGGTAGAAAACAGTTTTGTATTCTTTGAAGACATTACGACCAATAAACAAGTCTATACACAACACAAATCGCTCAGCGACTGCGACTCTGACTCCCCTTAGAGCAGACCCGCTACAGTCGCTGTGTTCAGCCGCTAGCCGCTCCAGTCGCAGTCGCATCAAGGACAATGGTCCCATTTGAAACAACGCTAACCAGTGCTCAACTACTATCGCTGAGCTACTATCGCTCAGCTACTATCGCAAGAGTCGCTTCAGGGACAATGCACCTTTAGGTTTGTTGAAGTGAAAAAATAAATTTGATCCTCCTCAGGTTAGCATGTGATGTGCTGTGGGCCTAAGAGATAATTGAGCCCCTATCCACCTACCTTGTGGGGTAATTTTTCTCTTTCTTGCTACTCCAACAAACCCAAAACCTCTTGGCCCATTTATTAAAACGGCCCTTATCATTCAACAGTTAGTTTTCATTAGTCAAAAAAAGACTAAACTTACCTTATGGAAAGGCACCTGAGCACCGTCCGCTGTTCCCTCTATCTCTCTGACGTACTGAGGGAAGTTCTCCTTGCAGGTGGCGAGTGTAGCGTCGTAAGCCTTACGACCCTCCGGACTGTCGTACAGCGGGAGGTACACCTTGTTGAGAGGTCCTGACGTGGCGACGAAGCTCTGGATTAGGCTGCTGAATGTTCGGCCCTGGGGGTTGAAACAGTTGTAATATAATTGTTGTTTTACTTTAAGTATGTTTTTATTTTATTTTGTGAGTTCTCTATGCAATTGAAATGTTTGTAAGGTGTCTTTTAGTGTTTTGGGTTCGGGAAAATACCCAGTGGGTTGGGTATTTACCCGGGGGTGGATAAACCTCCAAAAGTGTGCATTTACAAAAAATATTAGCGTTAACAGTGATTTACATAGTTCATTGGATTTTTCATGTCAAAATTATGGCCCTTTGTAAAAAAATACCCAGGTATTTATGAAAAATTGGTACTGAACCGCAGTTGTAAATATCTGGGTACATCTCTGCCATTCCAAAGTATGACCAAAGTAGTATATTAAAATAAATTGTCAGAAACAAAAAAGTGAACAATAGAAATAAATAATATCCTGTAAACAAAATCATTAGGTCAAGTGTCAAGATATTTTATAAATTTATTGTTGTTTGTACCCAGCGACAAGACCTGTATTATATAACTTAATAATTTAATTTAAGAACTCCATGAAGATGCCGCACTGAGCGGCGAAATGCGCATAGAGTAACGATAAGTTCAACTACAAGACCTTCAGGCGAAATAGGTAAATCAAATTACTATAGGATTTATTTTTAAATATTTGTTATATATTAATATATATTTTTTTTTAAATTTAGTACAGTACAGTTTTTAAATATTTGTTAATAATTACTGGAGTACTTTTAAAAGTTTTGAACAATTTTTGCGAGCTGCTAGTGAAAATTATAGTAAATTTAAGATGAATTTTTACCTGTCTATTCTAGTTTTATTTTTCTATATCGTTATTATACACACTTGATACTGTTAGTATACACACTTTTTACTTATTTATTTTTTCAGAACTCTTTAAAAACACTCACCACATCAAACCCCACTTCATAGTGGGTTCCCCTGCAGTAGATGACGGGTATACAGTTTCTCCTGCCGATTTTCTCAGAGACGGGCATCGCGGATGTCTGATATCGCACAGTTGATTGTAAAGGCTAGCTGTAGAATGCTGGCCTGGTTCTGGAAGTGACACCACACATTACAACAATCCAATAAAGTGCTTAGAGTCAGCATACTCGTACGGCTTCCTCGCCTTACTTTACATTTTATTCATAACTGTGTAAAACACATTTCCATTGTTGGTGTGTTTCACTAGTAACGTAGACTACTTTGCCAAAAAAGTGTTTTGTAAAAAAATTGTTGGTAGTTGGTAGTTTACAAAAATATTACTACCAGTACTGAGTAGATAAAAAAATCCATATTTAATTTGGAAAATGCTAAATCAGGTAAACCTAACCAAGCAAAATTTTTCAGTGACAGAATATTACTTTTTTACTACCTACTTTGTCAACAGACACAAAAAGTGTTTTTTTTTTTTTTTTGGTGGGGAGGGTTTGCTAAAAAATTTAAATTCTACAGGCAATTGGTCCCACAAACCCCCAAAACAACCATCACAGCTGGAGTAAAAATTGTAAACATTTAAATCATATAGCATTTTTTGTGGAATAAACCATTCATTCATTGAGTAATTAAAAAAGTAAACAACACTTTTAGATGTCAGGTACTCCTATAATATGAAATCTATTATTTTCACATGACAGTTTACAGAAAATTTTCCGAATAAAAACTCATCTATATAAACTAGATGTTTATAGTTAATACACTTGAATTAGGATACAGTATTATATTTATTTTATTTTTTAATAAACATTTATGATGAAGTCAAAAATTTTCCCTACCTGTAAAATAAAATAAAAACTTTTATAAAATAACTTCTAAGCTGTCGAGTATGAATAATATTGTAAACTTCTATACATTTTGTCCTCAGTTTTGTATTTCAGAGCTGGTAACAAACTAATTAACTAAGGCAAGCAATTATATCCAATTAACTACGTACGGTGAAATAATTGAGACACAAAGTGTTTTGAGGCGGAAAGCGAGGCTGCTGGTGATTCATCATGACTGACCAAGGAGTTATATAACCAAAATAATTCAAATACAGTATAAGCTTTGAAGCAACAATAAAAATTATCATATGTTTATAGCCTTGGAGAAATTTACTCATAATTTTAAATCAATTAAATTTAACCTGGAATGGACTTTTTTACTTTCAATGATAGTAAGATAATCAATTTGAACTTCTAAGTTGATCACTGTGAACAAGATTTATGTTTATTAGACAGGTATACCATCCCAATGGAAGACATTTCATTGTTTTCTAGGTGTAAGAGAATAAATATTGACAAAGTTCCAGGACAAGGATTGTTTGATTTGTCAAGCATCATAAATTGTACAGTATTAGCAGTTCAAAATAGTAAAACTAGTAACTTTACCGTTTAACAACTAGTTTGGGCAATAAAAGGGGTACCTACAAGCACTTGAAATCATTGTAAATGGATTATTGAATAAAATAAATTAAATATTTTAGCATCTTTCAACTAGAGTGTTTCCTCATTCCCGGAATTTATTGCCTCATTTTACCTAAGTTTGTCGTATTAAGTGTTGCCAATTGAAATATAAATAAATACCGTATCACTTTACATAAACCCTATGGGAGCTAAATTTTCTATTGAATAATGTTTTCAAAACGGGATTTAAATTCCTAATCCAAGTAAAATATTAATTGAATCCATTCAAATTTACAGTAGTTAAAACCCCGATTAAATTTTATATTTGACAAGCAATTATGGCCTTAACTTGTAGGTATCTCTAGCTTATGTAATTGTTATTCCACTAACTAAATGCTTATCTACATCCTGCTGTATGTTAACATTGAAACTTTAGAAGCTCAAGGGACTCTGTTTTAGATTTACCATTGACCTAGTTTACACTTGACTAAGACTTATTTACTTGTTACAGAGATAAGATGGTCATACAGCTAAATTATGTTAAGAATGAAACAACAGAACAACAACAATATATAAACTGCAATTAATAATCATAAAATTAAAAAGTCCGACTCATGGGTGTAAACTGAGAATTTATGTGGTATTCCCAGATTCAAGAACAAATAATTAATTATGTTGTTTACCTTATATCAAGAACCTGGCAATCAAAATGAAAAACTGAGGTTTTGACTCTAACTTTGAAGTCAAAAAGGCTATTAAAGTTTAAGGGCTTTTTAAAGTTATAAACATCATTCAATTATAAATTATTTATGTTTGTTAATGATTTAAAATTCCATTCAAACAAAACCGGCTTTTTATTCTAGCCAAAATCAAATAATGTTGATAACATTGTTAGAAAATATCAAATTTGTTTACTTAGAACTTACTTATTAATATTATGTCAAAAACAATTATTACCACCACACTTTATATTGTACAAAACTGTATAATATAATATGCATTATAAAAATGTGTTGCATGATTAAAAACTGTTTTAGAAGTTATAATTTTTATTCCTAACCTTACATAATTAATGTTTGAAAATGTGTTGCATGATTAAAAACTGTTTTAGAAGTTATAATTTTTATTCCTAACCTTACATAATTAATGTTTGAACAAATGCTAAAAAAAATAAATTAATTACAGTAACATTAAAATTATTCCTTGAGTTTTACTTGAGAAGCAATAGATATATTCTTAGTTATACATGTTGTACACATCTAACACTATATAATGAAAATATTGGCTTTGGGTTTTAGACAAAACTGTTTATGAATCAGAATCTTTATGGTCTAAAAACATTTTCACAAATGCAATTAACAAAGCCAAAACAACCTGTTACCAGTACATGGTAGGTAGTTTAGTACATAAATACTAGCTTCAATTGAAATTACAGTAAAAACTTAAACATTGTTAAGACTAAGTTGCAAGACACAAAGTTATTAAAGACACTAAAAAAGTATGTACAGTCATTAAAAAAGCTATGCATGTTTTGTATGTATTTGTATAGTTACTGAATATATTATATAAACTATATTAAATTAATCTAATAATTTAAATAATCAATGCCTTACTTCTCAATAATAAATAGTTTAGTAATGTATTCAACAGTACAGATGATACTGTAATATAGAATGCATTTAGCAATAAACAAAGTGTTATCTCATTATCTTCCCTCTTTAGCCACTCAACCCAACAACCCAGTTGATAAAATATCGGTAACCTACTGGACTACAAACACAAACGAAAACATAAATTACAAAAAAATGTTTTTTAACCACCATCACCAACACAGTTTATTATTAACATATAGTTGTTATTTACCTTATCAGTAACGAGAGCGGAGCGTTCACTCGCGACCGCTATTGACTTGCACACTGAACTGACTCTTACTGCCCCAGACCTTGTGTTATCAACACCTTGTGACCTTGAAAGTACCACGTGATCACCTGTGCCAGTAGCCTACGCGATGATTATTGAACTGTGAGGCTGCATGGTTTCAAACCATTGCCTGACTTTGGCTTAGAACGACAAAAAATAACGTGGGCTATGCCAATTACTCCCTCGTGTGTACATGTTCAAGTGTATGAGGTTAACATGATTTCACCACTTCATGATCAGCTGTTCTATCAGCTGTTAACGGGACGGAAGTTCTTATCGCTTTGTGTTTGAAAATGCTATGACACTAGGAACTGATATCTAGAAAATCATCTATTTTTACCAATTAAATAATGATCAGCTGCCTGTCCAATAAAAGTGTTGATCATTCTACGAAATTGTAAACTCCTGGTAATCCTGATCAAATTGCTGATAACGTGAACTCACGTTTGGTCCTATTTACTGAGAAGTAACAAACCTCTTCCACTGAAGGTTCTACATTAACAACAATTATTTCTTAGCACTGACCTAGAGCTACAACTTACTTTTTATACAGTATACTTTATACTTTTCTTTAAAATGGCGACCATTAAAGTAGGTATTTTAAGCCAAGTATGAATGGAAATGAGTGTGATGAGTGGCGCGATCTTGTAGTCTTGTTAGTGACTAAGGCCGACATATTCCAACTGGGGGTAGCACTACACTAGGGGCATAGTACATTGTAGAAATTGTTCTAAGAACGTTGAAACTAGGGGCTGAATAGGGAATTGTGGGTTTGTAATAAAGTCTTGGATTGATGAGCTGGTTGGTTCGTCTAAGTACCTACCAATATGCTGGCGCTTGTTCTTGATGTAAATTAATGTTGCCATTGTCCATGTAAAATACTCTATAGATGCATTTTTTCCCAGTTGTAACACATAAGGCTCCGTCCTAACTCTATGGTGTTTGTGTCACTTAATTAAATAGCCTACACAACATTATTTGTCTGCAACATCAATTAATCACCGTGTTTTAAATATGTATAATACTGAGCTAATATGCAATTGAAACATACCTAATTCAAAGGTTTGAACACTATCCCACATTAGAAGAAACCGTCACTTCTCTTGATGCAATATAGAAATCTATCGTAGAATCAAAACGGTTAACTCAAGGAAAAGTAAACAAACAAACGAAAACAAACACCTAACAGCTGATGTATCTGCAATATTTTAAATGTGAATAAATACAGCCCAATTGAGTTTCCTATGGCCTTAGGAGAGGATTTATCGAAAAACTGATATTTTCGGGGAAGATTTACATCAAGACAGAAATTCATTCCGGTATGCGGCTTGTAGGTGTGGTGTGCGGCTTATAGGTTTTCTCAAAAGTTCATATCCTTGTTTACTCTATGTATATATGCCATGATCAAAGAAACAGCTGATCTTAACCAATCAAAGCTACAAAAAATCCTACTGTATCATGCTCAGCTTCATTCATATCTGGATACGTCCAGTAGTGAGCGTCGTTTAAATTGGTAACGCAATATGCAAACACGCCAGTTTTGTTACATATCCATTCCATATTCTATGTTGTGCAGTATATTATTATGAAACCTATTAAAAATCTGCCATTAAGCTTGTAGTTTATAAAGTGTGTTTACTCAAGATATAGAAGAATATCTAACAAGTGTTATTTTATTTTGAGTGTGCATTGACGAGCGGATTTTTAAATAAATGAAAACTACGTTGCGTTTGATTACGAAAAAAACTATTGGACTATGAAACCGATCATTTAAAAATAAGCCTTTGGTTATTTTCATCTTAATGAAATCTTTCGTTTACCTCTCGTTAAAAAACTCTCGTTTCGAAACTCAACATAGTTTTCAACGTTCGTCTTCTTGTGCGTGAGACACATTGCGTTCTGTCTTGTCCCGAAATTGGTCAATTTCGTTCCAAGTAGTGAAATATACTATTTCATCACACTAGGTTATTATCAGCTGTTTTCGGGGCCTCATTTGATAACGATAACGAAAATAGAGATTCGTTTACGGGAGTGATGAGTTTAATGTAGATGTGAATTTCATCATTCATACATAGCACGACATTTTTTGCGTTTTCAAATATTTTTTTAAAGGGAGTGGTGAAACCCCTTATCTTGATACCACACAAATTATCAGAAATTTCAGATTGAATAACAACAATCACTGGAATAAGACACAACTTACTTTGTTATTGAATACCGGTACTTTAAAAAATGTTTGGTTACTCTTCAATATTAATTTTAGGTTTACGATTTTCAGTTGAGGACTTAAACAGGAGAATGTATCTGTGTATGTAGTGAACTATATTGTTCTTACTTGCCTTTAGTCGTTTTTGTTCAGCAATAATGTCTAAACCTGAGCTTGTGGCGGAATATTTTATTTTCTAAATATTTCCTTGACATATTAGCTGGGTAGTAATACAAGTAATAAAAAAGTCATAAAAGCAAGATTAAGGTCCAGTAAGAGTAACTACATTTTCAGCATGTACAATGCCAATGAGCCCACCTACATAAAGCCTTACTCTGTACTCGCTCCGGTTGCATGGCGACCAAACCTTGGCTGGTCCCTGATAAATGTCCTTATGTTGGTCACATAACATAACCGCTTCATGACTATCTTGAATCAAAGATCAGGGATAAAGGAAACAGGAAAATGCAATCATGAACTGTAGATAAGGCGAATTACTCACAGGAAAATACCAAAATACACACGCTTGTACAAGGATATGGCTAATTAGCCAGTCAGTTAATATTTTGAGGGTAGTTTAAACTGTGCAAAACGAATATGATGTATGCAAAGTTTAGGCTAATGAAGAGGTTTTGGTAAAAATATTGATTATTTATGTTTATAACCCGACTTTCAATATTCGTCAATACATGTTTTATAAGTTTTCTCAGTATGGGTATGGTTTGTGCTATCCAACACATTTGACGTAAGATGATCAACAATATAAACTTTTGAATATGTTTTGCCATCCCAGTTTTGAGAACTTGATGAGTTATAAGTTTTCATTACTCTACACACGAAAGTACACTTTCTAAACGAAAAATGAGCTAAAAAATTAGTTTTTTGTAAATGCAATCTCTCCCCGCAATAAATCACTTTCGAGACTAGTAATGAAAACTACTATAGTGTATTTCATTACAAGAGAGTCATTACACATTTGAGACCCCATGTTTGAAGTGCGAGATTTATCGAGCACTTTAAATGGTCGAGAATATAAAATAGACCAGTTTTCAATCGAGTTTTGAACGTTACTTTTCGCTACACTACTAAGGTAAATTTTTCTTAATTAAAACCACAGAAAACGTAATACAGTATGTGTTCTGTGTTAAAACATAGATAGGATATTTACTCATCACAGTTTGGAATATTGTACAACCCGTATAATTTTTTAGGTTATGTCTTCAATTTAAAATATTTATTGGATTAATATAATTTTGAACTGAAAAAAAGTTTGGGACCCTATATTCAAATGCACGGATTATACTTTATACTTTTCAAAGAAATGGCGACCATACCTAGTAGTCATTTTAAGCCAAGTATGAATGGAGATTTGCACACGGGTCCCCTCTTATATATTTCGGGTCCGTAATTGTTTAAGTGAATAATTAATTCTGTAAACCAGTTTTGTACTGAGAAGCGATCGATTAAGACAGATTGATTTAATTCACGATAAGTGGATTGAGTTCAGTTCTGGACACGCTGTGGAGAGTTGTGAGTTTGAGTTGAGATGTTTATCTAATTGGCCATCAACAGTTAGCTCCTACGTTAATTTTGTCTAAACTCTCTACTAGTTTACTCCATCACACTGACCTTCAAGTCCGAAACTGGAGTAGAGACAAACTATTGGATTGGGAAAGTAAGTCGGCCTCAGAAACCAGCGGGAGGTTCAATCTGAAAGAACTGGGAACTTGCGTCGTGCGTCGTTTAACTTGGGTCGTGCGCTTCCGTAGCCTTTAGGGAGGACTTGAACTTGCATTGTTGCATTTTGTTGATACTACATGACTTACAGAATTAGTTTAATATATTGTATCTGTTTGAATTTTGGTTTCTGTTAGTAATGTTTATGTAGTTCAACGATATTAAGATTCAGGTGTAACTTGTGACATTGATTTTGTCTACACAAGTTTTGTAGATGAAATCACAGAGATACTGAATTCACTCCTCTGATATGACACAAATTTTGAGATAAAACTATACTTGTTTAATAAAAAATTTTATTTTGACTCCTAATTGTTTTGTAATTTTTATGGTTGGTGAGTTAAGAGTTATTTAAGAGATTAATGTGGGCGTTTTTCGAGGCAATTAGTATGTAAAATAAGTTTTCACGACTTTTAGGATCTAGAACCTCATCCCATCCTAGGAGTAAAAGTATAGTTAACCATAGATGAAAAAATGCAAAAAATAACCAAATTATGGGCCATAATACATTATTATCGTTATCAATTGAGATGAAGACGCCTCCTAGTACCCATTCAAATATTGAGATTGTTGAGATTGGGTACTTTAATCCAAATATGCGCCAAGAATGAATGTAGAATGGAATGGGATGATCTTTGTGGCTTTGGTACTGACTAAGATCAGCTGTTTTATTAGCCAGACCCATTTAATTTGAAGCCCAATGATCAGAGACAGTTGGGTCCAAGGCGTGTTGCGTCTAGATTCGAACCATTAAAACCATGACTTTTCTCAGGATCGATCCGGTAACCTATATTAGGTTGGTTCGAGTTTTTGAAGGAAGTAAAAGTTGTTTATTTATTTTTAGCGATGTAGTACAAACATTTTAATTTTATAACATAAACATCTAGTTTTGGTAAATGGTAATTATTATAAAACCGATGCTTTATTTGTTTAATTTTGAAATAGTTTGTACATTTCTATAACATTACTTTATATTTATCAATTTATAACAGCTTTCCAAAAACTCGTTAGCCTAGTGTTATTCATTGGTATAACTACTTGTATACATATCAACCCCTCCACCATGGGCTATTTCCTAACAATAGTCTAATTAATTATGATTTCTATAATGCTCCGTGGTCAATTAACCTTTTATTCCAACGAATGACTTTGCACTATGCCGTGCTATTTAACTCAATATTTCTCACGCTCTTATACGGGTTACGTTTTTAAA